TGTGTGTATGTGTATGTGTGTGTGTGTGTGTGTGTGTGTGTGTGTGTGTGTGTGTGTGTGAGATCATTGACCTCAGAGCTGAGAGTCAGCAGAAACACACAATACAGCTCGGCCTGCTGCTGTTCCTGCTCTTCACACACATATCCGTTACAGATGTGAGGCATCGTGACCCGCCGCCGTGAGGAAACTCTATTGTTCACACAAGAGTCTAATGAACAGCATCAGATGAGCGGGAAATCACAGCAGCAGAAGCCCAGAACAATGTCTCTGCTCTTACGGAGACGTTCATGACCAGCGCTCTATTGTTCTGACAGCTCGATTGTTTCTTTGGACGCACAACCTTTAAACTGCATTTATGAGGAATTAAATCATGCATCTGATAAGCAGTTAAGAGAGCTATAGCTAGATCTTCTCATACTGGGTCTTCTCTTATTTATGAAACTCCAAGTTCATATAGATTCTAAAGGGATTGTAGTGAATGAGCTCTGAATTATGGCTTTGGCGACACCAAGTGGTGAAAGCTACTTCCAAAATCAAGAGATTTTCACCCAAATGAAATATATTAGTAAATTAAAATAATTGATTTTTCCATTTAAATATTCAGGTAGTGTCAAAACTATTTTAAAAGAGAAAATATATTATAAAATATTAATATAATATAAAAAGCAGTTTTACAACCTCATGCCGTAAGAGATTCTCTTTAGGTTCCACCAATAACTTTATATTTCTTTAGTTCTTTAGAAAATATAAATAACCCAGAAATCAATGCCCAATGATATACAGTGGCTAAATCTGTTAAAATAACCCTAAAACCACTGAAATTTATTTTTCTTTTCTCTTAAACGCTTGTTTGTTTGCTATGTGAATTTTGTTGGTTTTCATATTGCATTAACGATGACAAAAATCAAAAATGATTTGTCTGGGATTCATTTTTAAAATTTAAAAAATTGTCATCTCACAATCCTGCAATTTTTTGAAGTTTGCAGTTTTTATAGCCATTGTGCAATACTAAAAAGCGAAAGTCGTTCTTGATAAAAGGGTATCGCTTTGATAGTGTGAATGAAACACAATCAAACTAAACATATAAAAAAAATTTTATCACAAAGCACACATCCATGAGGAACAGACACTTCAAGATTTACACAACTGATCTTTTATAAAGCATGGTACATAGTCAAAACACAGGAAAAGACCTGAGGACATCTGACATGAAACTGTGCAAACTGTTCCGATTTCAGCAAAACAGATACAATACAAAATAGTTTTTTGATAATAAAATCAGATATAAACACAGGACGGGACACCGTTACAAACAGGCATAAATATACATACTCTCTCAATATGCATTTCCTTAGTAATATCAATTAGTAATTCTGATTAATTCATCGTACAGCTAAACAGATAAATGCATATTTTCTTCATAGAGATTTGCAATATTTTCGAGCGTCTGTTGGTGCATAATATTTCCAGATCCTGAGATTCAAGCGCAGCATTAGAAAATCCAGGAACGTGAATGAGACAATCCTGCAGATCTTCAGCGTGATGTAAACCGAGAAAAACTCACCGACAATATGCATATTAAGCAATCTAGTGACATCGATCTATTTACTATATGACATTTGTTGTGTATGGTAACGTGTAACCAGTGGGGAAGGTTCAGCTAGTTAATCAGATGTCAAAACGACACCATTCTGCTGCTAAAAAGCTTTTTTTCTCCGTTTACAGTCATTTTAAAGTAGCTGTGTGTTCTGGAATCAGTTGCAAGCAGCATATAAAATCACAAATAATTCATTATATTATAGTAGATCTTTTACCAGGACATGTTTTACTCTTAAATTGCCTATTTTTTGAATACCGTGTGCATGCAACTCATTAATATATGTGAGCCTGGAGCACAAAAGCAGTGTTAAGTCTCTGGGGTATATTTGTAGCAATAGCCAACAATACATTGTATGGGTCAAAATTATACATTTATCTTTTATGCCAAAAATCATTAGGATATTAAGTAAAGATCATGTTCCATGAAGATATTTTGTAAATTCCGTACCTAAAACTTAATGTTTGATTAGTGATATGCATTGCTAAGAACTTCATTTGGACAACTTTAAAGACGATTTTCTCAATATTTAGATTGTTTTGCACCCTCAGATTCCAGATTTTCAAATACTGTCCTATCCTAACAAACCATACACCAATGGAAAGATTATTTATTCAGCTTTCAGATGATGCATAAATCTCAATTTCACAAAATTGACCCTTATGACTGGTTTTGTGCTCCAGGGTCACAAATAATACTTTTGGCAGACTATAAAATAGGAAAGGAGGCATTATTCGGAGTTACTGCAGCTGGTTTTCTACTGGTTTCCGTCTTAAAAACAAATCAAGCTGCAATGCAGTGCTTCAGTGTGATTGTGATGGTTTTGTGACACAATCTTTGCCAAACACAACATGACTAGAAGACATCAGGTGCACCATCTGCTGGTTGTGACAGGAATGACTGACTGCTGCAGTGTCCTGTTCTTCTCTTTGTGTCGTCTGTTTCTGGTTCTCTAGTTTCTGCTGAAGCCGCAGCAGCCGGGTGGCTCTTTCTCCGGCTGCATCACGTCATGAAGGTGAAGTCTGGGCTCGACGGGAAACTGGACCGAGCGTCTCACCAGCTCCCTGCGCAGGACAGAGCAGTGGGGTAAATGTAATTAGTTACTGTACTTGAGTATCTATTTGGCTACTTTCTAGTTTTACTGAGTATCAAAAGGTATTAGCAACTTTTACTCTCTACTTCACTACATTTTTTAATAGGTTTATCATGTACTCTTTACTCACTCCAATACATTTGTACTGAGTCATGCAATTACTCATTACCCTTTGCATGGCACCTAACTTCTGCAGCAGTTTATTTCTGCTACAAAATAAGCGATATTGCCATCTACAGGGCATTAAAAGTACTATATCTTGTGCGTTTTGCCCAAAACTTGTCACCAAGGCTTCTTTATGTGAATGTGAGTGCATTAGCAGGTAGTTGAACTTGTGAATCGCTGGTGTTTTATATATGAGATTAAGGCTATTATATATGTGACCCTGGAGTCTTAAGTGTCAATTTTTCAAAATTGAGATGTATGCATCATATGAAAGCTGAATAAATAAGCTTTCAATTGATGTATGGTTTGTTAGGATATGACATTATTTGAAAATCTGGAATCTGAGGGAGCAAAAAAATCTAAATATTGAGAAAATCATCTTTAAAGTTGTTCAAATGAAGTTCTTAGCAATGCATATTACTAATCAAAAATTAAGTTTTGATATATTTACGGTAGGAAACTTACTAAACATCTTCATGGAACATGATCTTTACTTAATATCCTAATGATTTTTGGCATAAAAGAGAAATGTATAATTTTGACCCATACAATGTATTGTTGGCTATTGCTACAAATATACCCCAGCGACTTAACACTGCTTTTGTGCTGCAGGGACACA